GGGATGCAACCTCCGAGCCCCCCTAAGAAAGAGGGACTCCAGATTGTGACTCCCTACTGTGCCATTGTCGATTCTAGCATGTCGACATGATAGTGCCGCCACATACACTCTCAGGGTAGAAGGAGACCGGCCATCTTCCAGGAGCGACTGCAGGAACTCCAGGACAGTAGGCACAGCGCAAAGCACTGGGTCTTCCCTCCGGCCGACACACCAATCAGAGAAAAGCTTCCACCTGTTGTCGTACTGCAGACGGGTGGATTGTGCTCTGTTGTTCATTATGGTCTGCCTGACAGGGTCCACGCAGCTGCTCAGCAGCGGTTCGGGCCCTCCAGCGGCCAAACCCACAGTTTGAGGCGCTGAGGATTGGGATGCCAGATCCGACCCCCCAGTTGACACAGTAGGTCTGTCCTGTCGGAGAGGTACCACGGTGTGCCGCGACAGAGTCTGTGAAGCAGAGAGAACCATGTCCTTGCTGGCCAGAAGGGGTCCACTAGTAACATCCTGTGACCCTCTTGAAGCACTCTCTGAAGTGTTGGCCAAATCAGAGGAAGCGGTGGAAAGGCATACAGAAGACCCTCTGGCCAAGGGTGAGCAAGTGCATCCTGGCCCAGAGGGCTGGTTGCCTCTGTCAGGGAGAACCAGAGTGGGCAGTGGGTCGACATCTCTGAGTCAAGGAGATCCACCTCTGCTCGGCTGAAGACTTGTGACGGGAGAGGAAATCTGCAAGCTGATCCCGACTCCCCGGTAAATACATTGCCTGCAGGCTGGCCAGACGGGGGCTGCCCAAGTCAGGAGGTCCTGGGATACCTGCAGCAGCGGGGCAGACTTGGTGCCGCCCTGATGGTTGATATGGAAGACAGTCGAGGTGTTGTCTGACCATATGAGCACATGCCTTCCCCTCAGATACGGCAGGAAGTGCTGGAGAGTGAGATGCACTGCTCGCAGCTCTAGTACATTCGTGTTCGGTGCAGTTTCGCCCCGACCACTGTCCCTGAGCTGTCCTGTTCTGCCACACTGCACCCCATCCTGAGGGGCAGGCATCTGTGGTGACAACCTCTCTTCGGGATGGGCCTGAGCCCATAGGAACGCCCCTGGACATGTAAGACCTGTCCCTCCACGGCACCACTGCTGTGACAGCTTCTGGTGTCTGTGCCATTTGGCATCCAAGTGTAAGCTGTTCAGCCATATCTGCAGAGGGCGCAACGATAGCAAACCCAACGGAACAACGGCAGAGACCGATGTTAACTTGCCCAAGAGACGCAGGAACGTGACATAGGGCAGTAACTAGGGCAGCTGAGAGACGGGAGTGAGCCCCAGTATCTCTCCAACAGGCATGTAATCCCTCAGGTATTCCTCTGAGGAGGAACAGCAAACGCGGTGGAGGCCCGCCTGCGCCTGAAGAAAGCGCTTTCAGGAGCTGATTCAGCCTGTTGAGGGATGAGAAGATGAAGCTGCCAGGGAGAGGACATCATCCTCCGGGACGAGCACAGGCATGGGTGGAATGGCCACCTCTGCATGTCCCGAGTTTGAGGTCTCCGACTGATGAGCTTGGAAGAGGGACCTCATCTCCGCCAGTTCAGCTGACAGTCGATCCACTTCGGAAGAAAGCTTACGTTCCGTCTTCGCTTTCTTCTTGAAGGGGCCGCTGCAGCAGTGGGAGCAGCCCATCATCTTGAACGCCTCGGTTGGGCTGGAGGCAACTGGACTGATGCAGGGAGGTCACCCTCACCTACTGAGGGCCCAACCTGCGCCAATCTTGCAGCTCTCAGGCTCGAGGCATGTAGCTGCAGTTCATGCATGGGCTTTCCGAAAGACCCTCCCTCAGGTGGTCAGAACCGAGGCACATCGGGCAGAGGTCATGGCCATCATCAGCCTGAAGAGAAACCCCACAGACAGCACAATAATGACACTCATCCATTGTGGCAGACGCTACCGTAAGCTGAGGGAAGAGGGCATAAAACGCTGCCTGCACAGCAGAGGTGGGCGTGACTAGCTGTCACTACAGTGATTTGCTTCGGTTCGGATGCGACTGTGAACTAGGCCAACAAAACCGTAAGCTGAGGGAAGGGAGCGTGGACACCGCCTACAACAGCAAAGGTTTGAATGACTGCTCCGTTTAACGTTAAACTCCAGTCAGCCCAAGCAGGATGCTACAGGCAATTTAGCATCACACCATAAACTGGGAGAGGGGGCGCGAACGATGCCTCCCCAGCAGAGGCTTGAGAGTAACTAATGGTAGCCTATAACCAGTTAGCTGCCGCTAACCAAACAATTTCGGCACCGTAAGCCGGGAGAAGAGCCGGTAATTTGCAAGGAAATTTCAATAAAACGAAACATGTACCTTACGTCCGTAGAGGGGAGTGAGAGGCTACCCTACCGGTGTCAGGTACAAACAAAACAAACCGTTCCCTAAAGAGGGTTGGACGGCCGTCGCAGCCCTTGGAGGGCGAAAACTTTGCCGCTCCGACCGACACGGTCCCAAGGCTACCAGCGACTTTCA